GTCACAGCTCAGCTAGGGTTGAACGCTGTTTCCATACAGGGGAGGGGACCAAGGGGACATCGTTCGTCTCTTCATTGCTGATGTGTTCATGGGCACATTTCGTCCTCTGTTCTCTGCCTGGTTCTGGAATTCAGCCGAGAAGAGGGTGAGCCCCATTCTCCTAAGCTCCCATTCATTTGGAGGAGGCTGATAACAGGCAGAGCCAATCAATGCAGGCACCCCAAAAAAGGCTGCAGGGAAAGTAGACTGGGAGGTGTGAGGAAGGGGACAGGTCAAGGAGCATCTGAGGAGACAAAGTGGTTGGGGAATGCCCCTCGGGGAGGTGACATTTGAGCCAGAGGTGAGCTGGGTAGGTAGTGCAGAGTTCAAAGGCTGGGATGGCGTGGGTACAAGGTGGAGTGCCAGGCTTCCTCAGAAGGTCTGCTCTGAAGAGACCAAAGGAAACGTTGTGCTTTAAATTGTAGTTTTAAATTTAAATATATTGACAGATTCCATTTATACATGAACAATATAGAAAAGCGATGTGGTGTGAACGTCTGTCCCTTCCTTGGTGTGTTTCACAGGGAGAGTGTGTGTATGAAGTTTGATTTTCTATATTCTGACCCTGTTCAGTACTCTTTAGCCTCTGTCACTTTGTAGAAGGGAGCTCTTTCCCTTTTAATGGCCACATAGCAGTCCAGTCGCATTGTGGCCAGACACTGGCTTCTATATTGCCTTCTAATGAGAAACTTTCGGGTGGTCCCAGTTTACCCAGTTTAGGGGACCCTGAATGTGGTCATGGTGGGGTGGAAGGGAGCTGTGGGAAGAGATGAGAATGAAAACTCTGTTCAGATTACATCTTTTCCATTGGAAAGATAATCCTGTGTTCTTTCTTTCTTTCTTTTTTTTTGGGGGGGGGGTCGAAACAGGCTTTCTCTGTATGGCTTTGTGCCTTTCCTGGAACTCACTCTGTAGCCCAGGCTGGCCTCGAACTCACAAAGATCTGCCTGGCTCTGCCTCCTGAGTGCTGGGATTAAAGTCGTGTGCCACCCCACCATCCTGGCCAATCCTGTGTTCTTAACTTTCCTAATTTCTCTGGAGATTGTGGGCTCAAGGATCTTTATACTATGCTCCCAACATCTCCTCCCTTCTAGTTTTTTAAAGAAAAATTAGGCCTGTAATAGAGACCAAGGTTGAATGTATTGTCTTTGTAGCTAGTCTAACAAGCCCAGGCAGGCATGAGAGAATTATAAGATTAGCAAACAGTCTCAAGGAAAGGGAAAAGCCATTTTAACCAGGGCAGCCATTCAAAGGTCGTTTGAGAGGTTTTTGTCTATCTCATTATATAAATTATTAATTTGACCATCCACAGTATGGAAAAAAATCTGACACATTAACGCAGCACATGCCAGGTGAAGGGAGCATGCAAAAGCACCTTCTCCCAAGTACCACCACTTTGACTTCAGACTCCATTTTACCTGTAGATTGAGGCTCCCAAGCCCTAGGGGAGCTGGGAACTTTCCAACAGCTGACCCATCTCTTCCTTAGACAATAGAAAAAGTCTGTTATACCCCTTCGTCCTCTAAAACACGATGGCTGTTTCTAACAGAGGGAAGAAGAAATGAGTCTGATTGGTTGGACGGAAAAGCTTATGTTCTGTGTCAGTTGACAGTGATGGGCCACACAAGGAAAGTGCCTGACCTGGGACTCCTGACTGGTGAGAAATGTAACTGTTGCTTTGCAACAAGTGTTTGTGGTCTTGCATGCTTATAAACCCCGCTCCTGCCCCTGCTTGGGGCCCTTGTCCTGCAGCCCGGCTTGGTCAGCAGCCCTACTTGTGTGGTGAATTATGAGAGACTTTGAAACCCGTAGGTGTTGTCTCTTTCCTTCCTCGTGGTGCACAACAGACAAGGTGTGACACCAGGAAATTGTTGGCAACCAGACTTGTGCTTGAGCCAATTAAAACTGTGATGCTCAATTCCCTTACCTGTGGATTAATTTTTGTTAATACTTGGCTATAATAGTAGTTTTGCTAATCGTACAGGCCATTTTTTGGCACCTCTCTTTGTATTCCAGTAACTCTTTCTGGAATAGGGAATAAGAAAGCCGTTGTGGCTGCAACAAATACAGGATCCAGTACATGTAAGGAATTGTCACTGTTTTCAGGAAGACCTCTCTAATGCTTTTGATCCATTGCAGATATTTACTGAGCAAAATGGGTGTAATATGGTCTATCTCATGTAAACCTTAGCATGGCAAAAACAACATCATACTATCTCCTATTACAGGTGTGCCTTTTATCCCCCCTGACAAACAACATCTGGATTCCGCGCTGACAAGGTGAGTGTTAACATGTGTTACAGTCAGTAAATACAGCAGCAGCATCTTTGGATCAGTCATGTATCCTCGCTGTTTTCCCAAAGTTTCAGCCTAGTGAGTTAAAGTTCTGATGTCTCCCCAAGTTACCAGCTTACGCTCCCTCTTGGGACAACTTCCTCCTGATGGACTTGTCATCTGTCTTCAGATGTTTCATTTGTCCAGTGGTCTCTGGATATCCTGGTAGGATTCATCAGATCAGTAGCCATCTGGGACTTTGTTCATTTCAGGGTATAACCTTGCCCTGCCGTTAACATTAGTCTTTCCCACTGATTAGTTTCTAGATCATTTCATTTAACATAGACTTTAGGTTGTGACTCCTTTAGGGCAAAATGCTTTTGGGAAGCAGAAAAAGGACTATTCTTTAAATTGAAAAAAAAAAAATTTAAAGTTAAAGTTAACAAACCAAATAGTGTGTGAGGATTTAGATAGGTGTATCTGCCCCCATTTATTTATTTATTTGTCAATTAAGTATTTGATGGTGTCATTCCACAATTGTCGAGGGCCATGAGAATACACAGCAGGTGATAACTGGTGTTCAGATGTCAATCCACCAAATGATGGGAAGCCCCACCTGGCCAAGCCATGAGGTTACTGACTATAAGCGACCAGTTGCTCCTTGTGTGTGTTTCTACCATGTGCCACTTCATTGCTTCCCTAAGAACTGCATTCCTCCCTTAAGAACAGCTATGATATCTCCCCATTTACCATGGAATGTGTACATGTAATCTCATGATTGCATCTCAGTCTTATGGGTACACACAATTGTGGATAGTCAAAAGTGGAGGGGAGCAGGTGGTGGGATGTGGAAGCTGAGTGACACCTGATACCTGTCTTCATGGACTTGAGTCTGTGCTGGCTCTTGTGGCTGCAGAGGCCTCTTTGTAGGGACAGCAGGAACATGGCTTGGGTGGGATCGCATGGCAAACAGCACTTGCAAGACAATGAGACATCTGCCATCCTTCTCCCAAGAATTTATCTCAGGAGAAAGAAAACAATAATTCAGCCAAAGCAGCGATATTTGGGTTTGGGGTAAAAATTAAAATACGAATCCCTCAAAGCCTATGAGAACAGTTAGGAAAGTGTCCCATGTGTGGAGTGGAGGTAAAAACAGCATGAAAGAGTATTCCGTAACTGCAGTGATTTGAGTTTCAGTGTTTTACATGGGGCTAGGGAACGGGCCTGTGCCATGTGCCTAGCAGCACTGTAACGGTTTAGAAAAGTCTGTTTGTGGTTAAGAGCAGGTTTTCTTGTTGATGCCTCTTCTAAAGCCCCCTTACAACTTCCTTCCAGAATTTGCCTACTCCATTTAAGTTTAGTTTGAACATTTATGGATTTGTACATGTACATGTGTGTGTGTGTGTGTGTGTGTGTGTGTGTGTGTGTGTGTTCAAGAATGGACTTTTGCCCCTAAGTAGGAGACCACCCTACCTGCCACCTTCCTCTCCACTCACCTCCGTGGAAATGGTGGGTTCAGGAATATTGTTCTAGAGATTGTCATCTTCAATCTCACTCATTACTGTCACTTTGTCCTTTATGGTGGAGTTCCTGAGTGTGCATGTTGGTCTAGGCAGGATACCAGGCAGCAGAGGTGGACACTAAGGGTCTTGAATCAGCATGTGGCTGAGCATGAGGGTCTGACAGCTTTTATACAAAGCTTATTGGTGAGAAGCTGGCCAATTCCACACATCCTCAGGTTGATGTGAAACTCTGGGTAACTGTCCCATCCTGTCCCTAAGCAGCATTTTAAACACAGAACACAGTGACCAGAGGCAGCTTCCTACTTGTCACTGAGCTCAGGACAGAAGTGAATTCATTACTGCCATGGATGTCTTGAGGCACAGGGCACACTCTTTGCCATGTTAATTGTCCTAACTAGATAGAGCCTGGGTGAGAAAGGTTGCTTCTTGGGTGGAGAGCAGTGTCCTGATACCAGAATCTGGTGACATGCCAGGCTGAGGCCTGCCTCTCCAATGCTGTGGTTCAGGGGGAAAGTTAAGTGAGACCCAGAGTCTAATGCCACGATTTCCTCAGCCTTGTGGTGTTAGGGTCACATGGGGAGGCTGTAGGGACCCAAGCCAGAGACCTGGCTCTGTCCCAGTCCCTGTTGGCCTTTGAATAAATTTCTTCACATCTCTGCCTGCTTTCCCAACCCGTACAGATGTGATTGCAGTGTTAGATAAGTCAGCACACACAGAGCTCTCTGTCAGCAATTCCGTCTCGTCGGAGTTACAGACAGTGGGCGAACCACAGGTTTACACCTTCTGCCTTCTCTGGGCCAGTCAAGTTGTGTGACTGGTTTTGGCCACTGAGATAGGAACGGAATGGTGTGTCCTTCCAGGCCAGGCTCTTAACCACTACTGCCATAGATTTCCCCTCTGACACACTGACTGGTGGCTTGGTGACTGCTCTCTTTGGGTCTCTGAGAGTGACCCAAAAGTGAGTTCCTTAAGATGAAGCTCACCACAGCCCTGTGGTTCTGCCAAGACACTGCCATCTGAGGGGTATTTGCCGCGATATAACCTCACCCATCCCGACTAAAACAGTTGTACCTGGGTCTCAGGATGAAAACTTCTGTCAAATCTCAGCAAGAGAGGGCAGTGGGCGTGGGGACTGGGGAGAAAGACAATGTTACCTTATCCTCCCGTGGAGTTACCTATATGTGTGTATGCCAGGAGCTGCAGGTGATTTATTTTGTGGGGAAAGGGGACCAGCAGGCAGGTCGGTGAGAGGGGCAGATATGAGCAAAGTACAGTGACGTGTAATATATAGTAATATATAGGAAAATGTAGTAATGATACCTATTGTGTCTTTACATTTTTACTTACAAATTCTGTAAGCACAACTGCCCTGGCCACTTGGCAGTTACAAGTTGGCCCCTGCCTGACCAGAATTCCCTGCGGATCCTTTGCAGGATTGCCTTATTCTCAGCTGGATTTCACAGGCCTTGACCTTTTCCCTCCTGCTCTGTACCGCTTCTGAGAAGGCAGAGCTGCTGCCCTGGGTAAGGCCCAGCAAGGTCCACGGTCTGACCTGTTCCAGGCTTCCCCACTGTAGTGGAGAAAGCATTTGATGGCATCCACCAGTGTGTGAGCCTGCCCAGTCTCAATTGCAGCCAGCCTGGAACTATCAATTATGGAGGCTGACGTGGCCATCCTTCCTCAAATAGGCATAGCATTGGTGTTGGTGGGTGCTAAGTGAGGAGGTTTGGGGTGGGGCAGGGTGTGGTTTCACATTCCTGTTATCTCAGCACCTGGAGGCTAACAGAAGAGTGTGTGGCTCCCCCTGGCTGGCAGAGGTGTCTCTGGTTCCTGAACTGTGCAGGGCTGGCCGCACTGGGATGCACAACAACAGAGCCTTATCTGCCCCGGGTAGTAAGGTGTCAGGGCCTGAGTCCTAGCCCTGGGGGCTCTTGAATCTAGCCAGGCTGGGACAGAGCAGTGTGGCCATTCTTCTTCTCCCTGTGTTTCATCCACAGGCTGCGTGGTTCTTCCCACCTGGGCCGGAAGCTGACCGCACCATCTCCGGGCAGCAGCGACTCAGGCTGTCCTGAGCTTTAGGCAGAAGCGTGAAGATCTCCGACAACATCTGTGCTCGGGCTTCCTAAGCTGCCAGTGGCTTGTGTGGAGAGAAGATTCCGGAGGCATGGGCTGTCACCAGGAACTCTGGGCTGGGGGGTGTCATTCATGCAAAGCCTTGAGGTCACCTCTGTCAGCCAGGGCTGGCAAGTTGAGTTGCAGAGGAGGGGGAATGTGCTTTACCCTAAGTTACATCTCCCTCTCTAAGAGAGACCGTGGAGAGTTAAGTGATTCAGAAAGGCCAGAGCTGGGCATTGAGCCAAGCCTCTGTGCTGACCACGGGGCCAGAAGGGCTGTGTCTGCCTATTGCCCCATCCCTGGGTCTGGCTGCCTTGTCTTACCCCCAAGCGCTTTACAGGCAAGTGGAGCTCTAGGCCTGATCTGGAAGGCCTGGTGCCCAGCATGGGAGTGGTGGGGGGCTCCCTGGGCAGTGGCCAGATGTGTCTAGATCCCAGCTTTCCTTGGGAACCAACAACCTTCTAGGGAAGGGCCCTTTTCTCTAACTTCAATTCCTCATTTGTGTACCTTTTCCAGGACAACACTCATTCTGTATGACGTTATTCTGAACAGGATAGAGAAGTTGGCCGTGGTCCATTAATAATGTTCTTTTGTCCCCTAGAAAGCTTCATCTGAGATGTGTGTGAGTGTAATTTATATGTGTGATAGAAAAATGACTAGGAAAGAGAACCCAGTCAGGCTGCTCTTAAGTCAGAGGAAACTCCATCAGAAATTCATCTATCCTATTTAGCCTCACCTGCCAGGAAGCTCCCAGCCAATCATGAAGTTCTCACAGAAGTAGTGGCTTCCTTCTTGTGGGCCCAGGGTTTCCTCTATGGCCCAGATTGTCTTTATAAGTCCTTTTTGTTTGAATGGTTGTCACAGTCAGAATTCAAAGGACCTTGACTTCTGTTTAGAAAGTGCATATTCAAAAAGCTTTCTTTGGCTCCCTGGTATAGAGACGTCTCTCCTGGTGTCACAGTCTGAGTGTGTGCAGTAAGAGCTGTGTCCCATAGCATGCCAGGCATCAGTCTGGAGGCTGAAGGAAGAATGTTCCTGACCACACTGCCTTTCAGGGCAGATGGTGAGCACAGAGCTGCTGGTTCACTAGAACAGGAGTCTTCCCTAGAAAGTCCCTGACATGAGTGGGATTTGCCCAGGCACCGTCACGCATTTCCATCCCTGCCCCTCTGTGAAAGCCCGGGTGAGCTGTTAGTCCAGCTAGTGCATCCAGGACTCCACCAGGATGTCACTTTTCCTAGGGAGAAGAGGCCAGTGCAGGGCTCCGCCCCACCCCCCACCCCCAGAGGCTGCTGTGACTGCCCAGGCTGGTCATCCTTCCTGACCCCTGCTCATTGTCCTTTCATTTTATGAGAAGAAGACACACTTGGCACCTGTCCAGAATGTCACAACATTGCCCAGACCCTAAAAGATTCAAGAGCAGCCAATGGACCTGTTAAGAACGGGCAGCCCCGAGGGGAGGCAGAGAGAAAAGCACAGGTCACTGAGAGGGATTCCGCTGGCAAAGGCATGGCGGCACAGCAAGTCATTGTGTGCCTCTCTATTCACCCCATGTCACTGCAGTCACCCACCATCACTCACCCATCCATCCCTATACCCACTCATCTATCCAGTCACAAAAGCGACATTCTGAATTTCACAGACATCGTGCCTGGACTTTTCAGTTTGGTTTTCCCTAGTGGTATGTGGTCTGATACTGTGCAGCGCCACTGGCGCCTGTGGTCCGGAGGGTAGATGGTGGATATCTGCCATGCCCCGAGTCTTCCTAGGTGGTGGTGTCTGGTGGGTTGGGGACCCACTGTAGGTGGAGGAGTGTGGGGCGTTTACCCACCAACCCCATAGTTCCCCAGAGTTTTCTTGAGTGCGAGCAGCAGGAAATATTAGATAGAAGGATTTATAGTGGAGAATCTTGCAGAGATAAACAGAAAATAAAGGATAGCCTCGAGAGGGCCTGGAACCTATTCCAACGGGCCCCGACTGTCTCTGGCCCAGGGTTTTTATAGAGACGCCAAGGGGTGGAGCAAAAGACCTCCTCCCCCAGCACAGCCAAGTGCAGACCATCTCAGACACCTGCACTCAGGCCCGTGGTCCTGATCATCCTCTATGAGGACATGCTGGGTAAAGCCACGAGGAACCCGAGAACGGGCTCCCACAGAGGAGCACTATGATTTGTACCTGCTAGACTTGTGAGGCCATTTTGACTTAAAGAGGTGCAAGAAACACGTGGCTGCCATGTTTTTAGGGGACAGAACTATTATAAAAAAGTCTTGTGTTGTGGTAGTTTGAATGTAATTGGGCCCCTTAATCTCATAGGGAGTGGCACTATTAGGAGGCGTGGCTTTGTTGGAGTGAATATGGCCTTGTTGGAGGAAGTGTGTTACGGTGGAGGCTTTGAGGTTTCCTATGCTCAGGATACCGCCCAGTGTGTCAGCCGACTTCTGTTGCCTGGAAGAGGTAGGACTCTCAGCTACTACTCCAGCACCACATCTATCTGCGCGCTGCCATGCTCCTCGTCATGATGGTAATGGACTGAATTGCTGAAAGTATAAGCGAGCTACCCCAATGAATTGTTTTCCTTTATCAGAGCTGCCGTGGTCATGGTGTCTTTTCACAGCAATAGACAACCTAACTATGTATGGCATGTGTGTTATTCATAAGAACAGTCATTTGGAATCACCGGAAGTTCACAAGTCAATGTCTCATCGCTGTGAAAAAATACCTGCTAGGAACCACTTGGCTGAGGAAGAGTTCATTCTGGCTCAGCAGCTCATGGGGGTCTCTGTGTGCAAGAAGGCAGCTCAGTTCAACACAGTTCAGTAGCCAATGTTGGTTCAAACTTCTGAAATCCAACTCCAAGTCTTTTATTTTAGGCACATGTAAGCACAGCACAATTGGGTGAACACTATTCTGGTGATGATTAACTAAATCCCACATGTACAACAAAGCATGCATAGATCTCCTGGAGGAACAAAGTAAGCTAAACACAGATCACATGCGACTACACTGAAAATCTTTGTGAAGTCCATAAAGACAGGTTCTATGGAGTGACTGAGAAAAATGAATTTAAAATAAGGGTCTGGGGAGGATCTGGTACTGGGGAAGTATCTAACCAAACAGCGCAAAGGTCACTGAGAGAGCAAGACAAACTCCATTTTAAAGAAAACTTCATTTCTAGCAATACTCAGATAAAAGCTGAATCAAGTTCCAGAGACACGGACACTCAGCTAAGACTCGGGTCAAGGTGACCTGCAGGAGTGGGGGGGGGGGGGGGGGGGGATGGGTAGGCTGCCTTAAAACTAAAACAAAGGCTTAGTTGTGGGAGATTCTCCAAATGTATTGTCTTCTGTAGTTCTGCTTCTGGCTAACTGTTCTTGTTAACTGAAATATGACCCTGGAATGCAAAGGCTTTTACCCCCAGCTTGCAGCTTTTCCCTTTAAAAACCCTTCACTCTGAGAGCTCAGGGCCATCCTCCTTCTCCTGGCTAGCCAGTGTGTTGGACGCGGACCAAGCCCGGGCTTGCTTACCCTTTTGTACTTGCATTGGATATCAGCTCTGTGGTGGTCTTGCTTGGGGGTCTCGCGACACCGTGCACGAGTCGCTACGCCAGCAAGCACATCCACTCCCAGCCCTCTGGGCAGACAACAGATCCCACACTCCTTCCCTTGAAGGAACAGCCGTGTGTGCCAAACATTCCAGGTTCCCCTAGTGCTTATCTGTGAGCACAAAGACCTCTGCCTCCTACACCAGTTCTGCTAGTTCAGTCCTCAGTCCTTGGCTTTGTGGAGAGGCAGAAGATGGAGGCAGGAGCATGTATGTGGCAGAGGCTGCTCACCTCACAGCAGACAGGAAACAGGAAAGGGATGTAGTCAGGAGCCAGGGCAAGACAACCCTAAGGACAACCCCCATCTTTTTTTATTATTATTATTTTATTTTTCTTTCTTTCTTTTTTTTTTTCTTTTGGAGCTGAGGATCGAACCCAGGGTCTTGTGCTTTGTTAGGCAAGTGTTCTACCACTGAGCTAAATCCCCAACCCTCCCCATCTTCTTCAAACTAGGCCTCTCCCACTTTTCACTACTTCCCAATAACGCTGGTCATGTGACTCCAAAGCCAAAGGTTCCTGGCGGTGCATTGTCCTTGGCACCGAGCAGTAGGTGCCCAGTGTTCACACCGTTAGGAATGCAGTAACTGGGGTGGAAAGTTCCACACTGAACACGGCTGCGATTTTGCTAGGGGTCCTGGGTATTTCATGAAATGGATGATGGAATCACATAGTACTTAACAGTTTTTTTTTTTTAGATTTCTTTATTTTTTATGTACATTGGGGTTTTGCCCGCATGAGGCTGTCAGATCCCCTGGAACTGGAATTATAGACAGTTGTGAACTGCCATGTGGGTGCTGGGAATTGAACCCGGGTCCTTTGGAAGAGCAGCCAGTGCTCTTAATCACTGAGCCATCTCTCCAGTCCAGTACTTAACAGTTTTAAAAATGACTGGGCATACTGATTCATGCACATAATCCCAGCACTTGGGAGGCTGAGGCAGGAGGATTAACTTGAGTTTGAGGTCAGCCTGGGATATACAGTGAGTTTCAGGCCAGTTTGAACTACCTAGTGATACTTCATCTTAAAAATAACAGGGGCTGGGGAGAGAGCTTTGAGAGGATGACAGGATTGCAGCCATCTTAGAGAAGGGTCAGAGTGGGGGCAGCAAGCGTTAACGTTCTGATCCCGCCCCTCGGCGCCACCCTGTGTCCTGACGTAAAAGTCTCCTTTTTAAAGAAAAACTCCTCCCATTTCTCTCTCTCCCTCCGCTCCCACGAGCTGTGCACCCCTCGACCCCCATCTCTGTCTTCCTCTTTCTATGTCTCTGTCTCTTCATCTCTCTATTATAATAAACCATTTCCATGTGGATGCAGCCTCTGGGTTGTGAATGTCCACCCTCGGCCCCGCTGCCATGCCGCATGGAGTGAGTCCCCGGCCACCGCTGCATCTGCCCAGCAGGATACTCTTGGGGCCCCCCTCCCATCATCATAATAAATCATAACAGCAAGCCCTAGGAAGCCCACCAGAGGATCTGCTGCCCCTAGACCTAGACAATGAAGAGCCACATAATGCCACACCAACTCCAGTGTCGTCCGTGTGACATGAACAATTGTGTCAATATGGCAGGAGATACGAGTCCCACGGGACTAAGCTCCCTGGAGGTCCCTGGCAGAGTGCCGGTGTTATGCCTCCCTCTTGAAGAAGATGTACTTCACAGATCATGAGCTCCCTGGGCTATGGGTTCTGTATAACTGCTTTTCTGATAATGTTCTAATTAATCTATGAAACACAGCCAGAATTAATGAATGCTTGGGTTGTGAACTATGGAGGGAATGGGAAGCTGGACTCATAATGAATCAGACTCATAATGGCGTGACTGTTGGGCTGGGACCCGATGACCTGGTTAGGATTATGAGAAAGAATAGTCAAGAAAATAATTCCCTAGAAGACCCCCCTCTTCTGCAAGCTCTTACAGGAACAGAGTGGAGAGAAAATGAAACTTTTGGGGATGTGGTGAATCAGACACAGCAGAATGAGCTATTTCTTAAAAACCCTGAGCTGCTAGATAAAGAAAGTATAAAAGTTCAGGTACTTCTAGGGAATGAACACTCACCCACTAGAAATCCTTTGGGAATCCCAACTAAAGTGATTTATGGCAGAAAACGTTATCTCGTAGGAGACAGATGGTGGGCCCCTCTGTTGAGGAAGTTCAGCATGGGGAACTTAAGGACTACAGCAGAACCCCTTCCCTTTACAGGCGTGAAAGTACAAGAGTCCATATTCCAGCAGGTAAAAAGGTTTCATATTAGAAGAGATAAGTGGTGGAGAACTGAAGAGAGACTTAAGAGAGGGTCTGCAGCATCCAAACTGGCCAAGTGGGCCATGAGAACCAGAGAAGCAGAAGTGTATAGAAACTGCCGGGGTAAGATAAGGGACACAGCTGCAACCACGAGAAGTCTGCACAAGTCTAGGGACCGTACTAAGTTTAGAAACCACAGACTACTCTTTGGGCCATAAAGTTCCTGTGGGTGAAGGGATATGTCTAGCGCTGATTAATAATTATGTGCTTGCTGTTTTTAAAAGATGATGTAATTGAATTATTGCCAAGCTCTTGTTGTTCCTTGTATGACTTGATAGTTTTCTTTTCTGTATAGTGCATAAGCTACACTGAGTTGCAGAAGTAAAATTGCAGCAGATTCAAGCCACTTCTGAGTGTGTCGTCTGTCTGTCATTCACTGAATCCTTGCCTTCCTGACTACCCAAGCCCTGGTTCTCCTACGGTGGGCCAGTCCATGGCAACATAAAAAAATGAGTTCCAGACACTTCTTGCCATAACCTAAAGGACATGATAGATTGTATACCATAGCTGTCAGAGGGAGCAAGTTTCCTGCAGATAAGAAATGGGATGTCTTACTGTCAGAGAAATTGGGTCTGTGATGACATAAACTGTAGAGGACGTGGCAATTTCCTTGCAGCTGCAACTCTCCAGTCAGTTTAAACCAACCATCTCTGGAACTATATAGAGTTGGCACTCCCCCAGAGCCCCTACCCTAACCACTATAACCACGCTGCTTAATTGTTACTCGGGGTCTCTCCTGCTCAGCTGCTGCATCAGGCAGATGGAGAGACCCAGGTTAACTCATAAATAAAAAGACTCTTTGCTTTTACATTAGGATCGATCTCTTGGTGGCCTTTGGGGGGACTCTGGGTACAACAGCTTAGTGGGTAAATGTGCTTGTCCTGCAAGCCTGAAGGCCTCAGAATCCAATTTCTGGAGCCTATGTAAGGTTGAAGGAGAGAATTCACTCCACAAAGTTGTCCTCTGATATCCACATGCAGTCCATGGCATATGTTCCCCCCCAACACATACATCACA